TGTGTTTTCAGCTAATAGTTGAAATTAACAGTCATTTGGCATTATTTCGTGATCTGCTTATACATGTGGGCCAAACAAAAGACTGCCCAGAGTTGCGGGAAAAAATACGTAAGTTACGTCGCACTTGTGTGGAGGCTTTCAAGCACACGGAACAAATTTTAATGCCACAAGTCAAAAGGTATCTAATAACATTTATTTCTAATATATATATATATATGTATTAATATAATCTTATGTATATATAAAAGCGCTTAAAACTTTCTTTGGTTGAGAAACATTTGCTTTATACATTAATTAAATATATTTTGCATCAATTTTATTGCATTTGTTTATCAGAGATTTCATTGGTATAATTCATTATCATTTATATTTAATCCTCAAAGGCATCAATAAATAAATGACAATAACGAATAACTTAAAAAAAAAAAAAAATGCTTAATTTTGAAATAAATTGAAATTAGATTTCACATAAATACAAAAATTTTATTTTAATCCATTTAAACAAAATTGTGGTTTCTCTGTTAAATGCTTTCCTACGCCTACCACATGTTCGCAATGAAAACTAATCCTAATAAAGCCATTTTAAGCTCTTAAATGCTAAGCAGAAAAATCATTTAAATTTGATACAATTCTTCGAAGCATTTATTTAAGTTATTAAATGTGATCCATAAAAACATCGCTTTGAAAGGCCAACAGCGGAGGCAATTCGCAAACACTTTAAATCCTATTCAAGCATACTTAACTTAACTTAAATTTTAAAGTTAATGAAATATTAAGAATATTTTTAATAGCATTTATGATTTTTAAATTAATTAAATTATTTAAAGTGCCACAGAAAAACGCAACATAGCGTCACTTTGTTCCGCTTATGTGCAAATAGAGAAAATGGGGTAAACAGAGAAAAAACATACGCATTTAATTTTGCTAATTACAAAAAAAAAAATCATAACCGCTAAGGAAAATAAAAATATGTGAGAACTCTCCGACAAGCTATTTGTGTGAAAAAAAACCGACACTACATACGTAGTCAAAGAATAAAGCGAAATATTTTGTAAGCATTAGGATGATACGAGATACGATAATGAATGAATGTATCTGCTTAAAGGCCTGCAAAACACAGCTCCTGAACGATGCTTTGCAAACTCCTTGGAGATTAAGTCACTTCTGTAACAACAGACGATGCGAGAATGGCTTAACATGAACACCTGCGCCGTGGCTTGACAGCGTGATGTCCGCACATACAACGACTTGCTTTAGCGTGAACCGGCGCTTCACAGTTAGTGAGGCAATCCATATAGGCTAGTAATCCCACTACATCTGCACTACCAGATCGATTTAAGGTGTACGGTCAACAAGAGCACTCTATGGAGCGTTTGATAATCTACATATATCTTATTATTTACAACTCCCGAGCTTTTGGTTTTCTCTGGACACTCTGATGTCCACTTTACTTCCCGTTGGGACTCATACGCTGCTCACAATTTATTTGACTTTCGCAGCGCTATGATTTCTGCTTAGGCATCCTTCTAAACTTGCCAGAGGTTCTTCTATTTTACATCAATGTTTTGATTAGAGTATCGGCTGTTCGTTTACTACGTTCGAGCTTAAAGCTACGTCCCGCGGGACTTTGAAGTCACAACTAAGGCGGCGGGCTTTAAAAGAGAGATTGCGCCGCATTTTCCTTAGTGATTTCATTTAATTTTTATTTTATAGCTTTGTATATTTATTTATTTATTTGATTTATTTATTCGTTTATTATGTTGTTGCATTATATTATATTTTGTGATCGTGTTTGTTTTATTTGTTCGTGACACTTTCAATCAAGCTCATCAGAATATAAGCTCCCTATTGGTGTGAAGAAGAAGGAGCATCCACCAAAATAAATAGTAAAAATAAGAACACGACAAGAAACAAAAAACGATTCTAAATATTGATGACCCGCATTAAATATCTTCAAACAGTTTCAAGAAATTTGAAGCAAAGAGAAGTTTGTTTGATTGTACAAAAGTATGTGTTACTAATACTTCAATAGATACGTTCTTTTTGAGCAAATATTGACGAGAAATAAGAAATTTGCTGCTCCCGATGAAAAACGCTTTTAGAAATTAATAACGACTTTAGTAAAATTATATTTCTATCGGTTTAGAATTTAATGAAACAAAAGTAAGAAAACCTCAGCTCCACCTGCTAGAAGAGGAACATTGTTCATTAGTTTGCTAGTAGTAGGTATTGCATTTCTGCAGGTTTATCTAATGAGAAACATGGAGAAATCGCATAAAATTTCATTGTGGAAAAGTAGAAATGTTATAGTGGGCCATGGTCCTTACACTAATGTAATGCTAAAAAGCGTTGTATAAGAAGTTGTCGAAAAAGTAATTCGATCCGTCTTGGGCCACAACACGTCGGTGCACCATATTGCAAGATTAACTAGACAGACGGACAGACAGACTGATATAAAAGTTATTCTGAATCCATCGATCTAATGAAAGATGGTTCTTCTGATTGTCATATACGCCCGGACATCATACGCCGATGTCCCATAAGTGATGTACGCGGCAAGAAATCTCTTCATTTCAGGAAATATTAAGTTCATCCCATTGCATGCGGATTTTTTAAGTCGTCAGCAGATTATTGCTTATTAGAAACCTATAATAGATATATGTTTCTAAGGTCTTAAGCAAAATGAAGCGTGATTGCTTTCTTAAGCGGGAGAATTAAAGTGAATGCATCGAGAACGAACATGAAAAAATGACACGATTGACTCAATCATGCTTCTTTGCGTTTAAGTTCTAATGCAGCTGCTCAAGGGAGTAGAACTTGTAGGTATTTGATGTTTGCTCCCACCAACTATAAGAAGTATGAACGTGTTTCTTGTTATCGCTTCTTCTCTTTATCTTCCCTTCGACTTTGCCTTCATTTTGATATTCCAAAGGAATAGACATAAAAAAAATACCTGAATAGAACTTTTGACGCAAAACTTTGCTTCGTTAAGTCAATCGCACTACAAACAAAACAAAAGAATGCCTTGTAACTTGTGTCACACTCTGCGATTTGCCTCCTCATACAACCATTAATTTCGTGAGCATTTTTTTATTTATTTTTTTTAATTTCTATTATAATAGACAACAGAACTAAAGTGACTGGAATATAGGTTAGCTAAAAATGGGAAACAGTTTTATAAACTTATTTTATTATTTATATTACGGCAAGATTCTTCCTGCAGCCTAATATGCAAAAATATGTAAAATCCGTACAAGGTTAGAAAAGTGAAACATGATTTCAATGCGTGCAAAAAAATACATAATTATCGCAACATTCGCTGCAGCACTTTGAATATCGACACCATAACCTTTCTGCCTTTAATTGCATATTAAAAATAAACGGTATTTAGTATGTGATTAGCTTATATAAAAATTATGTGCAAGATTTGTAAATGATAGAAAATTTTCAGTAAGTAATCAAAATCGTTGATAATTATAAAAACAATTAATAGAAGCTATTAAAAAAAAAAAAAATTTTTTTTTTAAATTATAGAAAGCCAAGGTTTATATATTGATTTTCTCCATTCCTTCCATGCAAAGGTTTTATGGGCTTGGTTATACAATATGAGGGCGCTTTCGAAACTTGATCGCTGATTACCAGCAAAGAATACGTGCCAAGCTTCCCACATCAATTTCTCATTACAACGCGGAGAGTGATTCCATTGATTATGGCCATCGCTTAATAAATGTGAAGCGAAAACAAGAGAAATTGACCTTTTAATGTAGAGGAATTTGCTGCAAATAAGAGACGTGAATGAGTAAATCCCGTTATAGCTACAAATGCTGTTTCTCCATTTCAACGAAATAACATTTAAATCTGCTTTTGATTTTTTGAAATTTTTAAATTACTTACATCTAAAGATTTACAGCTTTTCCTAAATTCTTTAGTCAATAAATTTCTTAAATTGAAAAATTTCTGAAAATTGAATTTCAATGGCTTCATAACATTAAAAAAACGTGGATTAATGAAAGACAAGTAAGAAAGTTTTATTCGGCGGTGGCCGAATCTCGTATACCCATCAATATACTTTTCGCATTCTACTCTCCAAGTTCTCCTATTTGATACCCACACGGCTGGTAGCATTAAAAAAGAAGTAATCGCGTTATCTACCGTAAAATGAACCCATATTTAGGCATATAATTTATCTTCATTTGAGGAGTGTGCAAATAGTTTGTCTCGCTTGCCTTATGAAAAATAAGCAGTAAACCTCAAAATAGTGAAAAAAATTAAATTTAGTTACTCGTAACTTTTTGTTTGGAAATGGCCGATCGGTTCCATTTTTGGACGTAGAGATTAAATTATGCAAAGTTTAAGCTTTCTAGCTTCTATAATTTTCGAGTAACGAGATAAAATCCAAAAATATTTGTGGGTGATGATGTCATATATAATGCAAAAAGACCCGGATAGGAAGAGGTATAGTTAAGTTTTTCATACCTTCTTACCATCTCGAATATGGATGTATTACCCATCACAAGGATGTTACAAGCTTCGCTCGTTCGCTACCAACTCATAAAAGTATAATCTAATCGCGAAAAAGCAACAACACCAACTCGAATTTAGAAATATTTTCGCTAATCGATACACGAAACTTGCTTGATGTGAGACTAATGGAAAATGTGCGAAGGTAACATTAACAAGTACTCAGCATTATTTTCGAAGGCATTCCCTCTGAAGATATGATTATATCCTGAAAGTACTCTTCTTTGTACAACTACATAACTGGTGCTCATCTTCGTTGGCATGACAAAGTTTATCGACTGCCTCTAGACTAGTTGAACGCAAACTTTCTTAGTATGAAAACATTGCAAAACTCTTGACTCCTGGGCAAAAACTTTATTAATCAATTTTGCTGAAATTCGATGAATGTACCCGAGTGTTACTCAAGTAAAGGAAAGCTAACTACAATTGCTCTATGCAAAGCTCTTTCTATTACCGCTAACCTATGAAAATACATCATGTCTTCAAAACATCAAAGTTCATCATTTCGGTTTCCTTTTTCCATTAAAAGACATCTTCAAATCATTTACTTAGAGACGTAAGAAGCATTTCGTAATTTTGATGTTCCTTTAAATTATTAATAACCAACAAATGCATTTCATTTATAACCTTTTAATAATTTACAATGTTTTTTATTTTCATTTTCTTTTTTCCTTTTTCGTTTTTCTTCCAACTATTTATTTACGATTGCTTTCAATGGCATCAATATATATTATTATTGCTATTACAGTGCCACTGCCGATGGCGTCCTAACAGACAATCCGCATCTGGTTTTATTATTTTATATGGCGCAGTTGTTTTTGCGCGAATTAGTGAAAAGCTATCGCCTTATACAAGTGGTGCCAATGGACATGTCAGGCTATTATGGTAAGTTTCATTTTTAATGACTTCTTCTTTTCTCCCCCATTCTTTAAAAATAGCAAAACAAAAAAAAACAAAAAAAACGAAGAGAAAAAGTAAACACCAACAGGATTATCTAACTAGAAATGACCGTGTGACTGAGATATTATACTTGGATCGATACTTGTACGGTTGAATGAATGCTTAGAGGGCATTTATATGATAGAGTTATTAACTAAAAGACGAAAATGAAATATAAATAATGCAAGAATAAGTTTAAGCATAACATTGAAGTAAGCTAAGGATGAAATTACGAGTAAAAACAATTATAGCTCTTGGCAGCAAATGCTCAGTGTCATCACATTTTACACACAAGACAACTGTTATTCTTGAGAAGTATTTAAAAACCAGACACTAATAACGGCACTGTCTACGAAGGTCGTCCGTCATATTGTGTGGCTTTTGTTGGGGTAATAAATAGAATTTTACAAGTCGTGCGCACATATAATCGATGACAATTGAAATTGTTATCTCCCTTGAGGATATAACACAAGCGTATATAATGTTATGGTCCAAAAAAGGCAAAGAAAGAAGATCAGTGAATAACAGTGAGTGAGAAGTAAACCTGTACATCTGTTCTTTTTATACCCATCGCACGCATCGCAGAATGAAAATATCCTAAGTTTGTCCTTTGACTTCTAACGATAAGAAATAAAGAATTAGCTAAAGGAATTTGTCGCCTTTCTTGGGGAAACAGGAATTGATTTAGCGTTCTCGACATCGAGTAAACTCGTTCCGAATTTGAATACGTTACGTGAAAGCTATTTCACGATCGAAAGATTTTTCATTGGATAGTAAGACAACAGTGTACTTTATCGATAGCTGCAAGCTCTCTGATCTCTACCCGTAACAGCGAGCATCATAAATCCTTTCCACAACTTCATCTACGTAATAAAGCTTTAAAAATCAGAGCTTGATTTGCTGACGATCAAGCACAGAAAAGTTAGAAAACTTCTTCTTATTAATATATTTACAAAGTATATCAAATACTACTCTACCGTGTTATGTATATATATAAGGATTTTGCAAAATTTCAGGCAAAGAATGACGACAATCAGTGAAAACAGGCTTTCCCTTTACCGAGCTAATTGCATGGTTGGAGCATCGAAGCAAGCTATATTCTCTATAAGGCGAACATAACTTTCCTAGATGCTCCGTTAATGCATATAAATTAGAAACCTACTCATTTATTGAGTCGATAATTATAGCAAAGATAGCAATCAAGATTATTTGTTCGAAGCCAAGTGGGGCACGTAGCAACTTTTGAAATAAATCATGTGCAATACGAGTAGGAAGCAATTTGTTGCAGCAAACACCTAACCTTCACTTATTGTTTTAAGGAAAAAACAAAAAAAAAAGGAAAGGAAATTTATATAAATTTTCTCCTCGTAATGCAGTTGAATCGCTTTCTTATTCTTGGTTTTTTCTCGTTTTTTTTTTTTTCTTTTTTTTTTTAAATTGCTTTCCTATATAATATATTACTGCTGTGTGTGTCGGTGTGCGTTTGTTCATGTGCAGAAAATCGTGCTGGTCCTTCCAATCTTGGCAATGTCATAAGTCAAATTCTGTTGTGTAAACAAATAACACCGGATTTTAATCAGGAGGAATTATGCAGTATTACAAAAGATTCACAGGACATGGCTGTGCTGCTGTCGGAAATGCAAGAGTTCATGCCGCAACATGAAACATATCTTGGTAAGTTTAGTCTTCTTTTCCCCCATCACTCCTTTTATTTATTTACGTATTGTTAGTTTCCTCCTCCTCCTCCTCCTCCTCTCATCCATTTTTATTTATTTCTATATTACGTTTCTCTCTAGGTTTTTAATTATATTTTGCATGAGATGAGCCTGAATCTCTATGTAAATGTAAATGATTGTTTGGTTGGTTGTTTTCTGTTTTTGTTTTTTAAAACATTATCTATCTGTCTATAAGAAATTAAATGAATTTTCCAATTCCTCTTCTTCTTCTTCTTCTTCTTATTGTTGCCATTGTTATGTTGTTATTTACGAATCAGGAAATATATTTATTGCATTTTATTTAGCAAATGACTGATGCGATACTGAATCTTCGTTATTTGCTTATTTGTTTATTTTGACTTTGATGGAAATATAAGACAAGTTAAGTGGAAAATGCCAAAGGAAAAAAAAAAGCTTTTCAATTTGCCTTAATAAGATATTCAAATTAATTAAGATTAAAAAATAATACGCACACTTCACTGAACTGAGTTCGAAACGTTGCATTGGTCTCAACAATTCTTTTGCAGTAAACTTCATGCTCTTCGGTAATGAAATCCTTCGCGAATATTCCTTAATTATTTACTATTACGGTACTGGATTAACTGATTTTATTTTCTACTTATCAACGCATCAACTGAGATATATCAACATGCATTACAAGCGTATAAATGTTTTCCGGAAAGTACTTCTTACATATTAAAAATGTTACAAATCATTGTAACAGAGCCTTTTTTATACCCTACATCACCCATTAAGTAACGTGTATTAAGTTTGTGAGGATGAGTACAACATCAGGAAGGACCCAAGATAGAGCCGCCTGGTGTTATACAAACCTTTTCTGTTCGTCTTTCTATGTGAGGTGTGCCCATGAGAGTCTTTGTTTGCAACCTTAAGATCGCAATTTTTGAGATACTTTGAGAATTTTTGGTACACCGACAGGTTTTGGTCCAAGGAGAGAACGTTATAGAAAATAGTTCAAAAAGAGCCATTTTTTCGGTCATCTCCCTTATAGAGCCGTTTTTAAAGAAACATAAGGCTTTATGTATGACTGTACTAAACGAAATGGTGTGGGGTCGGCTGTCGCCGAATTGAAAAATATTAAATAAACCGGAACCATTCTCTCCAGCTGTCTTTAATTGAAGAGCCGTTGCAGCAGGCAGTGTAACTCGTGCAAAGTTGAATCTACATAAAAAGATAAAACTTTTGAAGGCGCATACCTATGTCTTGTGAACGACGTAGGGGATTTCAGTAATATTGCTTTTTGCCTAAAAAGCGAATACTTTTGAGTGAAAACATTCCATTTTCGGTCAAACAAAAAGCCAATCTTTCATTAATAACTCATGTTGAAATTAACTTAGCGAAAATTCGCCGTAGAATGCTATGCAAAATAATGAAGTTGTTGGGGTTGTGCTGCGAAAAAATTGTTTCCATATTTTGGATTCATAACGCATACAATATAAAATTGTATACAGAATAGCATATCAGATAAATGGCCTCTCATGGCTTTGCTATTACATACGTCCTCTTTTGATGAAATGTTCCATGACCGCTTCATAGAAATATGGCCTACTTTCGTTGCGAAAATAATTGAATTGCTCATCGCATTGTATGGCATGTCATCCACATCCATATTTAGCAATTAAGATACAAAAAAGTTGAGTATTGTGTCGCAATAGCGAGCGCCATTAACTGCTGTTGCCTGACCTGTCAGCATTTTCGAAAAGAAATAGTTCGCGATGATGACTCTCTTCTCTACAATCACTCGTGGATGCTATGAACGGAATATTTCTCAATTTTGTCGATTAATACGGCCATCAAGATAAAAACGAGTGCAAGATTCAAGACTTGTGTGAATTTTAAGACCCCCTGTACTATACCAAATTGTTTCGTATTTGAGACTAAAATTATAAAACCATATACTATTTTGATCAGAAAATGATATATTTATTCTTCGAAATCTCTCAATTTATTCAACTTCATAACACTTAAGTGACATTCTTTGTTAGGAATTTGGCGAAAGGAATTCAGAAAGCAAACCATCGAAATTCGATCGATAGATATGTTGTTCCCGCATGGTATGCATTGATACATATCTCATCGCAAATCAGGCGAACAACTTTTTCCATCACTTCCCATAAAACGCCTTATAGAAGTGCCGATTTAATGGTGACCCGTGGGCCGCTGTAAGACTTTTACTTGTTAAATTATGTTTTATTATTTAAAAGCATTCATTGGTGTTTAATGGTTATAGCCAACATAGCTGGAGGCACAAGAATATATCAAATTTGCACGAATGTATGCAACACCCAGAAGGACATGAGAGGGATGTATCGCTGCAGAAACCGATTCTGCTTTTCTGTCCGTCTGTTCGTCTGTGTGTTTTCTTGTGGTGAAAGCGCAGTTCTTCTGACACTTTGATGACATTTGGTATATCGACGTGGCCCAAGCACAAATTGAAAACGATCCCGTCGTTATATGAATTTCTACGTTAACTGAAGTGGTGCAGGGTACTTAATGGTGAGCCGCTTGCCACTATAGTGTGTTCGCTTGTTTCTTAATAGTCAATTATCAGAGGATTAGTTTTGTTTCAAGTTCTGCTGTGTCCTTCATTCTATTCGCTCATCTCTTAGACAACAACCTGCTGTTAATTAACATTAATGATTTCAGTGCTTTTGCTTTTTTAAAGTTTTCGAGTTCTTGTTTTGCAGTGCAAATCGCTAATCATTTTGCAGTAATAAAATTTCTTTTCAATTCTTATATTTTATCATTCTGTTAGAACGTCACACTGCTTTGGACACTAGCGGACCTTGGGCAAATAAAGGACGTAACAACTACATCTGTAAGAATATGAGTCTGCTGTGCTGTGTCTCTCGACCAAATTATCTCTGAAAGTAAATTTTAATTAAATTTTTTTAATAGAATTTAAATTTTAGAAAATTCCTAAAACTTTCAATCAAAGAAAATCAAAATAAATTTAAACTAAAAACAAAAAAAAGCACCAAAGGAACAGAAGAAAAAAAAAGCTCAATAAAATCATTTAAGAAATGCATCAAAGGAAAACAAATCAAGAACAATGTTAACAACACATCAATTATTAATTCATAAGCGTAGAATTTAATATATGTAGGTTATGGTTATTATATTTGAAAGAAACTAAATATAAATAAATAAGAGGAAAAAATATAGTAAATAAATACCTGACCAAGGTCCAATATTAGAGAGAAATTATTTACATATAAATATTCGTATTTTAGAATCGATAAATATTTTAAGAAATGCAATAAATTTATTTAAAAATGTTTATGATATGATGTATTCCATTTGAAATCTGATGAAAATGTTATCTATCTTACTTAACGTGCACGCAGCCATACACGCACTCATACGGACCAGTAGTCATACAGTAGCACACGTTACAAGAATATTAGTTCATTATGATGGACATTTTAAGCTTTAATGACTACCTTCCCCATGCATCCACTAACCAACTAACCAACCACGTAACCTGTCTACCTAACCTGCATACTTATTTCTCTTTTTTCTGCTTCTTCTTTTTCTCTTATTTACCATAATTTCTCTAAAACACTTTTATATATATATATATAAAAACCTAAAGGGATTTGTTACGACATTCACTTAATTTTAAGCGCTCGAAAGAGTTTTTAAATGACATTTTAATTACTTGGAAGCTATCAGATAAGTCATAAATTATGATAAAAGTTCTTAAATGACGTAAGAAACAAAAACAAAAAAAAAAAAAAATGATTACCAGCAATATTAAGATTTACGATCATGGGGAAAACTCTTGCAATAAATTTATCTGTCATTATGTTCGCTTTGTTGTTCAATGCGCTTGAAAAGCGGGTATAACGACTCAAAATTTCAAGCAAACTTTGCCGCCATTGCTGCAAATAACGCACCCGCACGTTACATATTCTTAACACGGACAGGCAGCAAGAGAAAATTCTAAAAGATAACAGGTCTCTGGATTGAGGAGTCGGTTAACGGGTATCGTTTTCAAGGTAACTCGAACATAATTTCCAATCCTCGGCTGATGATTCTCCTTATCGAGCAAGTCTTAACGAGCAATGAGTTGACGACACTCGATAACACATATAAGTTAAGTGAGTAGCCAGGCAACGAGACTTCCTTTCAGAATTTCTGCATCGGATGAGAAGAAAAGTTGTTTTCATTGTAGACGCGCTCACAGACTAAGTTCAGTAGAATCTAAAAGTAAATACCAGTGAACTTATGCCCTAGAGTTTCCATAATAACGTTGATATCATGACAAAAAGAAGATTATCACGAAAATTAATTATTTTCACGTTTCTATGTTTGGGTTAAAATCCATTCGAGACGAAAATAATAGGTCAGATGACCCATAAATTCGAAATAATAAATAATTTGTCTTTTTTTGATCCATTCACGTTCGCTTATATACACATCATAAGTACAGTTGGGACTTATTCAATACATTGATAAGAACTTGAACAACCTTCACTCTCTGGGCCTTTTTAATAAGTAAATTGGTTTGCTTGACTATTAAAAGACTGTACGTGCGAAAGTATATTCTACCGTACCACCCATCGAATCTAGATCTTTGTGGCGATAGCCAGGTATTCTATCGCTAGACATTATATGTTAGCCCGTTTTGAAATTTTAAAATTTCACGGTTGAAGGTTTTACCTACTTTTGCAAACATATATCGACTACCACAAAAGGTTACAAAATTCCGTCAAATATTCTCCATTGGTTCATTTTTTAAAACGATTTTTCCATACTTACACAGTACATGCCTGTAAGATAGTACACATGTTTCGTTGGTAAAAAAAAAACTTTTATACAAAATTAATTACAAAAATATTTTACTTAATTAAGTTGAAAATGGCTATTCAAACCCCGGCGTAAGCCTACGTGAATTCAGAATTTGAAGGTTGTTACTATCTAACAGCTACAGTGTGTCAGAATTTTAATTAACTATTTCTGGTCACTAGCTTTGAAATCCAATTGAAAATGGTTTGAATATTACACCGAGAATGATAAGCCATCAATTTAACAATAAGACAAAGAAGAAGTATTTTGCAACCTGCTAATTGGGACCAACATCACCTATCAAGATTGAGTGCATCGATTGCAAAGCATCTAGTGAATCACCTGCAGATGGTGGTATTTTCATCTTCAGTTGCATCTGCAATACGCCCTCCAATTATCTATAAGTCTATCCTCACTTTACAAATTTCGGAGAGCTCGATATAACAGCGCCGACAAGCATTTTTACTTTATTATGAAAATGTGGTGCTCTGTGCTTGCGTCTACAATATGCAAAATTTCACGTAAGAGGTCTTAGAAAGTGTGTGCATTAGTAATCGGCGTATGATTTCCAGCCGGTCGCACTAGATGCTTCTTTCCGTCAGTTTAGTTATCGTTCGTTTTTGAATTTTGGACGCCTAAGAATTTGACTAGAAAGAGCAGAATCTTCGTACCAAAGCAAGCTTCCAAATCATTGTGATTTCCTTACAAAGCAGACCACAATTGATAAAAAACTGAAAGGTGTATCATGTGAAAATAGCGTCTTCCGTAACTTACAATCTTTAGTAAATTTGGACTGAAACTTTGACATAGGCCTTCTAAAATTTCTATGCAAAACTAATTTGAATAAAATGTTCCGATAAGTCCAAGGTTAAGCATAAAGTTTCGTGTGTTTGCATGTTTATTGAAGATGAAGTTAAAACTCTGTCACTTATTTCGATCAAATAATGTGTACGGAGATAATTCAAAATGCAGTTATCACTATCGGTGTCAATGTTTCCGATAACTGTCGAAGCCAATTATTGATGCAAATCAAAAATAAATTATAATTTATAATGGAGCGAACATATTTAATGAATATTGTCATCCCTTCACGATGAACCCTCTGGGTAATTGGGCGATCATTATGCAAAAAAAAAAAAACAGAAAAAGGAAACGGCTTACAAACACACAACTGAAAATTTATAAAATCTACACAAGGATCTCTGAAAACCCTCGTAAAAATACTTAAAAGAAAACGAAAAAAAATATTAAGGATTTTAAATTAAAATCCAAAGCAACTAACATTTAATTCCATTTCGGGTTTATCCGCGAACGCCAGCAAACTTTTGTTGTAAGCACCACCAAAGAAAACCGGCAAATACATTTTGCTAAAACGTTTGCAACCCATTGCGTACATTTCATGGATATCAAATTTTGAGTCGAGTTAAGCATGTCTGTCCATCTGTCCGCGTGGCTGCTTATCTATCGGTTTAAAGTTCACCAAAAGCAATGAGAGTTCTTGTACACAAGATGATAATGAAAATGAGCCAAATAGATTGAAGGGCACGCCTATAGTTTAGTTTAGCAGAGACTCAGAACATATGTGGTTTCTGGGTATTTTGCCTATCAGTCATAAACTATATTAGATACAAGAATAGTAAAATGGGAAAAACAACCACGTCCACCCCGTATTATGGAGTGTGAAAGTGTAGCTTTTCCATTGTTTTCTTAATCTGCGTTAGAATAACGGTAATGGACATAAAAGATTCGATCACAGTAGAATATAGTTTTTTTTCCTGTTTTCTTTTTTGTTGTTTTGCCTTATTAAAGAGGAGAATTTTATTAGCATTTCCCTTCGACAATCAGTATATCAATCTCTCAATTCAATGCGTTTTTAGTTTTACATCTTTATATCCCTCAATCCGTAATCCATGTGCGAAACAATAGAAAATTTCATTTAAGGGGTTTTACGCGCTTGCGCTGTTGTAAAAAGCAATAAAAATTGAAAATTGTCCGCAAAACTTTTGTTTTTTCGACAAGTCGAGGGCTTATCAATAATTGCAAAAATTTTCTGAGCAATCGTTAACTCATAAGATATTACAAAAAGTAAGAGTAATTAAAAAAAGAACAACAACTGTTTGTTAACAGCAAACCATAAATCCCATACAACGTCGAATATTGGCCAGTTGTCGACAAATTCTTTTCCAATCGCTGGTTTTTACCACAATAAATACTAACTTATATAATATATTGCTTACGTGTAAGCAAGCTTCCTTGCCTACAGACTATTATTGTCCTGCACGAAGAACAAAGGAAAAAAAATTCTATAAATAGAGGAAACAGCTCGTTGTCGCCACTGACTGATCGCTTTAAGATTAGTTCTTAGAAACTTATTCATAGAAGTAAGAATTATTGTTTAACAGCTCTTTTCTGACTAGTGTTCAGGTGAATGCTTGTTCAACACCATTTAGCACATATAATCTAGATAGCAGCCATAATCACAGTATGACCGGCTGGCAGATGTGAAGAAATTCAAAACATTTTTCAAATTGTGTTTCTTTCTTCTCTTCTCCTCTCTCGCAATATCTTTATAGGATGTATGGGTTAGTAGTTCTTCTTCTAGTCGCATGCTAGGTTACTGTAGAAGAGAGATTTGAGCCCGTGTCTTGGATAAACGCTGAAAACAATGTCAACCAGTCTTATGTCGGCGTGTAATGCAACGAAGCTATACTTTCTCACCTTAACGTTCTTTGACTCATTCATTCGACAGCACTTGCCGTATAATAAGAAATGAAAGCTACTACTATTATGACACGTACACATACATATTCTTATTGTATATTCAGAAAATCATTTTCTGAATCCTTCTGCTCTTCTTTGTCATATTGTTCACTGTTTACATAGTTTACTTAGATTTGGTTTACCTTTCATGTACTTATCATATATGATGAACTTTTTTTATTTGTGTGTGTAGAGTCCTTTATTTTTTTTTAGTATTTCGAGTTGTCTTTCCTTTTCTTCATACATCTACATATTTTCCAGCCTTTCTTAAATATGAGACCGAGCAGACAAATATGATGACTAGATTGAATGGTGATACAATTGTCGATCTTCTATTCATATTTTTCATCCTCGTCCACACACCCATCCGTGG